CAGACCAATTGGGCAATATGACTTTTAATATATTTGATAATTTCCAATTGTTATTACATTTGACTTGAAATTTTTGATAGAGATACATAACTATAAGAAAATTAAATGCCATAATTTTTTTTGCATCAGTCAAAATTATCCAGTATTGTTGATTTTACAGACTGAAGTGTTTTTATTTATTTACTAAGTCTTTTAAAAATAAATTTAGATTTAAATATTTTAGAAAAAAAAGAAAAAAAATTCAGATTATATTATAAAAACTCCATGCTATATGCATAAAGGATCGTGGAATCCAATTAATTCATCTGTTTAAAACTATTGCTTAATTTACAAACCGATTAGTAAATCACTGCGTAAGGGCATTGAAATAAATCATCCAGAATTACCTATTTAACACACAGAAGATTCTTTAATACAACTAAAATTTAAATTTGAATGAAAATAACTTACAGCAACAGAACTTCCTGAAATTTTGAGTACTTACAACAGTAATAGCAGGTGTAACAGCAGAACTCTACCTCTACCAATTGTAATAAAAATATTATTAAAAACAATACATCTAAATACATACAATAATACATCAAATAACATTAGATACACAATAATTTAAAAAAAATGTTTGTTAATTCATTTTAAAAATTAAAAATTAAAAAAAGTTATAAATTAACAATTAAAACTAAATAAATATAAAATAAGAAACTTATTTTTTGAGATTTGTGAACTATCGACAACACCTAAAATGAAAAAATGAAAACAACATTAAAATAAAAAATATTGTTATTCTAAAAGTTATCTCTTGGCTTTTAGTGAATGATTAGAAGTAGTTTCAGTAACAAAACAACCTAATAATAATTTTTAACAATAGACACCAACGAGAAGGTAAGCCAAGTTGTTTATCAACATAAAACATCACAACAACAACATCACAACCACAAAACACACAGACCCTGTGGCACTAAACGCTGCAAAAAACGCTGGGGCAGATATTCTAATGATGCTCCTTCTCTTTTAGACAAGGAGCAAAAATGAATTGTAAACATAGTTGGACCTGCTCTTGCAGCCAACCTCCAACCATTATCACATCGTTGTAATGGTGCTTCTCTTTCTCTTTTCTACAAATATGGAAACTGCTCTAAAGAGCTAGCGTCCCTTGTTTATCTACTAAAATTCATTCTCTTGTGACTGTTTCTAAGTGCTCCAAAAATTCTTCTATTTTTTTCGACGAACATCAGTTCTTTGGAATTCGCTTCCTTTATCTTGCTTCCCTGTTTCGTATAATTTGCAATCTTTTAAGTCATCTGTCAATTGTTATCTTACTCTACAAACTTCATCTTTTCTCTTCCAGTAACTTCCAACTCCTACAATGATTGCTTGCAGCCTAGTTGGAACAACTCACAAATATACATACAATGACTTACTGTTGTTTCAACGCTGTGCCACAAGACCAACAGAACACAAATATAAATAAAAAAAACAAAAACTTGATCAAAATGACTAACCTGCATTATCAAATGAAATTATAGCCGTTCCACAGTTCCAACAGAAGAGTAAGATACATATAATGACTTACAGGTAGATAAACACAAAGATACACGTAATGACTAATGGCTAGCTACAACATACATATACAAACATACATATAATGACTTACAGGTGGGTCAGCACCGCTCCAGAGGTCCAACAGAACATAAAAATACACATAATGACTGATAGGTACATAAACACAAACATACATATAGTGACTTACGGGTGCGTTAACACCGCTCCAGAGGTCCAATAGAACACAAACATACACATAATGAGTAACAGGTATATAAACACAAACATACATATAGTGACTTACAGGTGTGTCAACACCGCTCCAGAGGCCTGACAGAACACAAACATACACATAATGACTAACGGATACATATACACAAACATACGTATAGTGACTTACGGGTGCGTCAACATCGCTCCAGAGGTCCAACAGAACACAAACATACACATAATGAGTAACAGGTACACAAACACAAACATACATATAGTGATTTACATGTGCGTCAACACCGCTGGTTTGGTTGCTGTTTCAGACAACACTTTGGTAGCTAAAATTAATATTAAATTTAATTTGAGTGATTACAATAAATCTTTTGTTAATCAAAGAGTTGAAGTTTGATAATATCTTTGTGAAAATAAAAAGGTAGATCATCAAGCTTAAGGTTCTATAAATAAAATTATTGAAATATAAAATGTTTGTTATACATTTTTCCGGATTTAAAAATTTAAAAAGTTTATCAAAGTATGACTTTTTGACTTATAGATTGAACCACCATTTCACGTAGATTGTTAAGTTCACAGCCTAAAAGAAGAGAATTTGAATTTGAAATTAAAGTTCATTGGTTCTTTTACTTAGCCAATAAAAAAAATATAAAAATAAATGAAAAAAAAAATGATAACATTCTTACACATTTTCATTTCGTGAACTTTAGACTAAAAGTTTAGTTGATTACTATTTCTTTTTGTTTTGAAAAAAACAGTTTAGAGAATCAACAGAATAAACACAGTAGTAGAAACAGTAAGAATTAAGCTTGTAGTTGAGCAATCCAAATAGCTTTAAAAATATAAAATCTTTATTTTTATTGCCTTGAAAACTTAAGTCATTAATAAGGAATATACTTTCACTTTCAATTTTATTTGTAGTTAAAATTTCGGAATTGCAAAATCAAAACAAAAAATATCATAAAATACGCGAAGAAATATAGATATATATATATACATAATTCTAATATACAAATCCGAAATACCTAATCTTTAAGAAAACATAATTAAACACTTGTTTTAAAAAGAAGAAAGGCTGAATTTGCCATTTCCACTTGAACACTTTCAAAAATCACTTTTTTTTCTATAATAAATAACCTTGAAGTTTTTAAACAATGAGAACTAAAAATGTATGTATAAATGTAAAAAAGTGTTCACATTCCATTAGATTCCTCACCCTTTTTTAATATATACGGAAAGTTTTATAGAAATTGGATTTGTTTTGGTACTTCGGAATCCTTACCTCCAAAAGCTTCGTTTTAAAAAAACGTTCCTGCTTTAATATTTTTTCTCAAAAGTGGTCTCAAGATATGGATAATATTTAAGCGAAGCCATATAAAGCATAGTATTTTTCATATATGGCTGAAAAGAAGTTGAGTAACACTAATTGATGCAAAAAACCTGAGGTTGCTTGCTTTCCTAAACAAAAAAATATAAGAGAGCAAACTTCATGAAAATTTCGTGTTTTTTGTCAAACGTCAAATGTTTTTCGCTTAGCCGTGGAATCGCTAACAACTACTTTTAATTATATGGTTTGTTGGTTCAAAGTTCAATAAGAGAATATATCAGTTTCTTAGATTGCACAAATGGTGTTACTAGTAGGGATTATTTTATTTTTTGATAAAAAATTTTTCGGATTCCTTTTTATATATCATGAATTGTGATAAGGTGGTGCTAGAGCAATTGATGGTCAGACTAAAGATTTGTTCTCTTGTATTTTAAATCTAAATGAAAAAGCTGCATATGCTCATTGCAACAGTTATAGACATAATTTAGTTATTTGTGCTTTATACAAAGTGCAATATTTCAAGTATCTTTTTAGTACTATGTCATTTTTTGCAATATGACAAGTATCTTTTTTGGCACACTTTAATGATGTATCATACTTTTTAAACTTGTACATACCACGCAACAAATTTTAGAGGAGCATTTTGAAAGTACCGTTCCATATTGAACATGTTGGGTGGAACTCTACCCAACATGTTCAATACGGAACTACCTAAGAAGGCACCGATATTGTTAAAGATGAATTAGAACCAGGACCTAGTACTTCCCGCTCAGATACATCAAGAATTGCCCCAACCCAACTGCAATTAAAGGCACAGATTGAAATTAAAATAATAAAGATAAAGCTCGTGTTCCAATTGGGTTGACTGCTGCCAAAAAAAAAAGGTCATAACTTAAACGCGTTGAGTACAAATTTAACTAACCCGACCATGATTTGGTGGTGGCTGCAGGACACAAATTAATTTCATCGGTGTATGCTGGAATTTAGCCTAATGGTCTTAGAAACCGAGAAGAGTAGGATATTTCCATAGGACCAAACAATATAGCAGACAGATCAAAAAAACACTCAAAGTCAACACCATTCGATTTTCAAAGGTTGTTTACACTTAAGGAGTTTGAAATCTTTACCAGAAGTGGTATTGATTGATTGGATAAACCAAATTTAGTTTTGACAGTTGATGGTGGCCCTGATAAGAACCCAAGGTGCCAAATAGTAACAAAGGTTGCAGTACACCACTTTATCCAGAATAATTTTGATGCTTTATTTTTTGCTACAAACGTTCCTGGAAGAAGTGCATTTAATAGAGTTGAAATAAAAATGGCACCACTTAGTAAAGAACTTGCTGGATTGATACTACCACATGACCACTATGAACAAGAGAAATAGTAAAATTTCAAAATTCAAATAGTATTTGATTACCATTTATAGTCCGTATTTGTTAACTAAATTTAATAATGTAAATAAAAAGATATTATTATAGAGCATTATAGTTAAACCATAAGTTAATATTCGATAACTATAACTAAAAAGATATAGTTATCGAATATGTTGAATAATTGACAACTTTAAAACTATGTTTATTTAGCCATTTTGAAAATATTTTATATTCCCGCATGCGTAAAGTAAGTCCACTCGGTGTAGTTAATAGGGGTGTCCCGGATAAGCTATCCGGGCTGGATATCAGTATTATTCGATATCCGTTCTCTGGCCGGATAATAACATTATCCGGTTTTAGATAAATCGGATATTTCAAGTTAATGTTATTTAGAAATTTAAAGATTTAATAAACCAAGAAATGTTATATTTTTAAATAATCTAATGTTAATGGTTTCTATTCAATATTGTTATTATTATTAATAATAATTTTTTATGTATATACTATTAAAATTAAACGCAACAAATACATCAGTTAATCACTCATTTATAAATTTATTTCCATTATGATGAATAAATAGTAACATTTCTCCACATTTAGGTAACAGCCTTGATCGCTTTTTCTTGTAAATATTCCCATATTTGGAAAACAATTGCTCCGAAAATACAGAGGATGATGGAGGTGCTAATAATTTAAGAGTTAACTCTTTTAGAAATGGAAACTTCTTCGTGTTTCCAATAATTAAAAACGTCTTCTTTTTTTTCTATCATTGAGTGATTAAAGAAAAAATCAACTTCTTGAGCAGCTTTTACAAGGGAGACTTAATCAGGATTTATTTCACCAGTTTATTCTGTAATATAAAAGAATTTAAATACTAAAGATGATTTATTTATTTATATATTTTCATTCAATAACAAGTATATAATACTTAATTTAGCAAACCCACAACAGAATATAGCTGTTATTAAAAAAAAAAAAAACTCAATAAAAAGTTTATTAAGTTTTTTACTAAACTTATTACGTAAGAAAATCTCTTTCTGTTTAACAATAAAAAATTTTAAAACTATTAAAAACTTTTTTAATAAACAGAAAAAGATTTTCTTACCTAAATTTCCTTCATATTCTGCAAGTTCAAAAAAGCAGGAGTTGAAGTCATTCTCTTCTCTTTTTTTTTTTGGATTTTGGCGTTAAATGATTGGAGATAATGGTGGTGAAGCTGGTAGCTCTATTAATAACAACTGATAAAAGTCTAGTTATATTTCTTTGATTTTTGACTGCTAACCAGATTTACTACACCCCCTGCTTATCTGCTTTCCACATGGAATGCAAATGGCTATAGAATCACAGTTATTACTAATTTTTAAAAGTTTCCAAATAAAACTCCCCATTTTGAAGGGTTATTACGGTAACTTTTGTCTTAATGTAATATTTATTTTACATTATCCTTATCCGGTCGGATATTCGGTCGGATAAGGATAATTATTAAATATCCGGGTATCCGATATCCGGCCGGATAATCAAAAAAATGCTATCCGGGACACCCCAAGTAGTTAAGGCGATTTACAAAATATTCGAATACCCGTAGTTAAAACCGTGTTTTACATTTCATTATATAATGTTTTAATACATATACATACATGTTTTACACATATACACACACACACATATACATATACACACACATATATAAACACATACAAACATATATGCATACCTATATACATACACACACACACACACACAAATACATATATATACACAAACACATATACACACATACATATATTTATATTTTTTTATAAAAAAACCTTTAAATTGTAATTTAAATAGACAATAACAAAAAGAAAGAAACAAATAGCAAAATAGAAATTCAAAAACCAAGTTTTAAAATAAAAAATAAAAAAATAAAAAAAAGAGAGAGAAAAGCGAAATATAAAAACCTCGAGACGACCAAAAGAAAATGTCGTATTGAGTAAATAGTGAGTAATTTTTTTTTTTTTTTAATTTAGTTTTAAAACATTTAAACTTAAAACATTTAAACTTAAAACTATTTATAGTTAAATATAGTTAACAACTATAGATTAAAGAACTGAAAAAGCAAACCAGTCAGTTAATAATAAATATAACATATAATATTATTTTTGATATTTAGAAATAACTTATTTCATTGTCAATATTAAGAAGTTTTTGTTTAAGTTTTATTTTAAATTAGTTAAAGGAAATAATATTTTTTATATCGTTATTAATTTTTGTATTCCATAATTTGGGCCCTCTATTTGCAATTGAGAATTTTGTGGCCATATAATATGTTTTGGGTTGTTTGTAGTTCAGATTTGAAAATCTGGTAGGGTAAAAATGATTTATTTTATTAAAAAGGGTATTAAATATGGAAGGCGTAATTTTTTTTATCAATTTTGTACATAAAAATGAGTATCTGGTAAATGTTTACCTAAGAAGGAGCACGAGTGTTTTCTTTTTATGTTAGAGTTATAAATACATAAATTGGGAAGTTTTAAAGGAATAATATTTTTTTCGTGTAGTCTATGAAAGAAAGTATACTTGGTTTTACTTATATTTAGGGATTATTTATTCGACCTGAACCATTCAGTTAAATTTGCGAGTTCCTTTTTGACTGTTTTAAATAAGAGGTCGATGTTACTATTTGGGTAAAATAAGTTAGTGTCATCCGCGAATGAAATTGAACTTAGAATGTTAGAAAACCTATACAAGTCGTTTATATAAACAATAAAGAGGAGTGGTCCGAGTATCGATCCTTGGGGAACACCGCAAGTGATTTTCATATACTTTGATTTTCCTTTGTCATACGATATATATTGTTTCCTATTACTTAAGTAACTTTTGAACCAAGCAATGTTTGCGTTTTTGATGCCATAATGATATAGTTTGGCTGGAAGAATACTATGATCTACCGTGTCAAATGCTTTGCTGAGATCTATGAAGACACCTACTGTATACTTTTTTTCATCGAAAGCATTAAGTATGTCGTTAATAAGGTGAATGGTCAGTGGAATGCCCTGACTTAAATCCAAACTGTTTGTTGTAAAGAATATTGTTCTTATTGAGAAAATAATAAAGTCTATTGTACATAATTCTCTTCAATATTTTCGAGAAACAAGGATGAATTGAAATTGGTCTGTAATTTACAACACTTGAGAGATCTCCAGATTTGAAAACTGGTATAATATTAGCTATTTTAAGTTTTTCAGGATAAACGCCTTGTTTTAACGATAGATTAAAGATGTGTATTAGTGGAATGGTTATATATTTTATTGATTTTATGATAACAAGAGTACTGATATTATCAAATCCTAAACTTTTTTTGGGTTTTAACTGGAATATTGCATCTAACAGATCTCTTTCCGTAAGTTCAACATTGCTTATTACGTTGGTGTTATGGGAGTTTAAAAAAAATTCAAATTTTATTTCTGTGGGTTCTATTTTTGATGCTAAGTTATAACCTACATTAACAAAATACTGATTAAATTTTTCTGCAATTAAATGCTTATATGTTATAAATTCGTTATTTGTGTATAGATTATTTGGGAGGCTATGGCTATCTATTTTTTTTTTCCAATTACTTCCTTAATTATGCTCCACATCTTCTGTGTATTTTAATTGTGATTATTTAATTGTTCAAAATGATAAGATTTTTTAGAACGTCTTAAAACTGATTCATAAAGACGCTTGTAGTTTTTATAATTAATTTCATTTTTAAGTGTTCTTTTTTTGATAATTTTTTTTTTGTTTAAGGTTTTTTATAATGTTTAAAGAAACTTTTCTTTTTTTATATAATTTTCAAAACCTTATTACTACCCGTAATAGTGAATCTAAAAAACACAATTTTAGAGTCTTTAGACCAATTTCGCTCATCGGTATTAACATGAATTTAGTTAAAATCTTTTGAAAAAGTTCTTTAATTAATTACTGATCCTAGTTTTAATCGGTTCTGACGTATATTAACAATATATAGTTGTCAAAAAACAATATTTCTATCAATTTTCACAAAAAATACTAGAATTCCGACCAGGAAAGAGCTTATAATTATGGAAAATTGCCAATAAACGATCAGAACAGATCATATTGTTAAACTATGATGTTCATTTCACCTAAAAAACGTATTAATATTAAATCTTATTCAAATTCGGACGAGGGATTGTGATTTTAAGATGATTTTTAAAAAAAAAAAGAATCTTCGGTCTGGGTTTTTTTCGCTACAAACATTTATATTATATGATACCGCAAAATTTATCATTTTAATAATTCGTCTTTTCATAATTCAGAGGCCAGATCACTTAACGGAAATATGTCGTAGTCAACAAAATATCATACAGACGCTATAATATTTTAAAAGTGCCTTAACTACACCGAGCTATTGACGTCCGAAAACTGTGGAGACTTTTTTCCAGTGAGCAAATCCAGGTTTCGCGTATTTTATAAAATCCTGACCTGAATATAATAAGTGCTTGAATATCGAATTCATTTTAAATAGTGTAAAATTTATAAAAAATTTTGCTATAATATATTAAAAAGAATTATTTAATATAATAAACGAATTAAATTATCTATCTATCGCAAATTATTACAAGAAAATAAGTAAAATAATTTAAATAAATTTAAATACTTTGGATCTTGATTTTACACAAAAACGCGAAACCTGGATTTGTTCACTGGAAAAAAGTGTCGACCTCCGAGAACGTACTATTTTGGACTTGGACCATTGGACGTCCAAAAACGTTCAAGTCAAAAATTGAAGTCCATTGGATGTTCTAAGACGTACCATTATGGACTTAAACGATTGGACCTAAACGGTACGTACTATGACGTCCAAGGACGTCCTGTGCCCATTTGGTAAGTTCGTTTAAGTTTTAAACAAGAAAAGAAATTTTCAAAATGTGATTACAAGAAAAATTTACATTTTTAGTATTTGTTTGGCTTATTTTTCTTCGTTGGACTGTATTTTTGTTTTCTGTTTGTTTATTTTTTATTTAATTGTTTTGACTATTTTAACGGTAACTTTGTACCATTTCGGTATAATATTTAAGTCTTTATAAAGGAGCTTTATAAAAAGATTGTGTTAATGTAATGTTTTCCGTATCTTCTTTGAGCCCCTCTCTGCTTTAACTTTATTTTAATTAATATGTAATTTTCAGTATTTATTTATGTATTCTCTTCTATTGTATATGTTTATAAACGTGCATTGTAAAAATAATATTTATACCATGTTAACAAAAAGAAAAAAAAGACAAATATGTGAAGGTTATTAAACCACTCCTAAAAATTTAATAACAAAATCTTTTTATATTTTGGCTTCATCAATAAATATTTTTGGCAAATTTTGGGATAAATAGAGTCTTTTAGAAACGAATGGAAAAGAATCCATTTGGTTTTATTAATGTTAAGAGTTAACTTGTTACATTTGAACCTAGTAGATATAGTTCATTATTCATTGTAGAAAAGAGTATGGATTTGTCATTATTAATCAGTAATAAGTTGGGGTTGTCGGCAAACATGATACTCATTAAGTTTGGGGCTTTATTTACAAGGAACACCACAGGAAATATTTAGAAAAAGGCTTTGGTTATAGTTATTAATAAAAACAAATTATTTGCGGTTTGATAAGTAACTTCGAAGCCATTTTATAGTTATATACTTTATTCCGTGGTACTTTAGTTTTTCGAGCAGGATTTCATGGTCGACAGTATCGAATGCCTCCAACAAATCATTAAAAACGCCTAATGTAAATTTGGATCTTTGAAAGGAGTTTGAGATTTCTTACACAAATTGGATGATTTCATGCTCTGTGGATTTTTTTTTTTAAAACTAAACTGATTATTCTTTAAAAGATTACACAGGTCTTCAAAAAATTTATTGTATCAAATTTGACACTTGTTCTTACATAATTTTGATACGCTGAATTCAAATCTGGCATTCATTTTTTATGGAAAGCTACAGATTTTTTGCAATTTATATTTTTTTAATTTTGCAAAACAGTAGAAATAGTTCTAAAATACAGATTTGAAACTCATTTGGAAATGCTAGGATATACTTTTTAGAATAAAAATTGTTTACAAAACTAATACAAAAACAGAAAGCAAAGAAACTAAATGTAAACTGATTAAAATAAATATTTTTTAAATATCCAAGTCCTAGCAAAGTTATTAACTTTTTATTGATTAAAAACAAAATCTTTTACTTTATTGAAAGATCAAAATCTTTTATACTTTCGTTTTAAAAAAGATTGCAGATTATATTGCTTATTTACAACTACTTAATCAGGAAGAAACTTTTGCTTGTTGCTCTTTCGTTTATAAACTTTTCCTGTGCCTTCTCGCTTGATGCCCCAGCAATAGTCTGCCATCATGTGTATGTTGATGGAATCGCTCTCCTTGCTCTTCACTCACATCTCCAAGTTTTTCAGGAAACTGGTCAAGATGACTATTTATATAATGAAGCTTTATACTCATTTTGCATCCAAGATCACAAAAGGCTTTCATCATTTTATCAACTTATTCTGCATAGTTTTCTGCTTTTTTATTTCCAAGAAAATTTTTTATAACAATCACAAACAATAACCAAGCCGTTTTCTCTTTGATATTCATCATTTTAATGAATTCTTTATCTTTTATAAGATAGCGAATTTGTGGCCCGTTAAAAAATCCTGCTTTTTTTTTTCTCTATTGACAATCCTGTAATGATTTAACTATATACTGAAAACAATCACTATTTAGTTTTTAGTGCTTTAAAAAATTGTTTCATGAATCCAAGTTTAGGATGGAGTGGTGGAAAAACTATTTTGTTTCGACTAACAATTGGTTCATTAACAATATTTTGCATGCCCACCTGTAAGAATCTTGCGAATGGGCCATTCTTTTTGTATCCAGTGTTGATTTCTTGCTCGACTGTCCCACATACAGGGATAACATGGAAATTTTGTAAAACCTTTCTGCTGACCAAGTAGAAAGTTAACCATTTTTAGATCTTCACAAATAATCCAGTTGTGTTCATGATATTTAATCAAGTTAAGCACTATTTTAATGTCATCGTAAGTTTCTCGCAAATAAACAGAATGACCAATTGGTTGGTTCAGAACCAAAAATATTTCCATTGTGCAATATAACGCATTTGAGGCTTCGCTTTGTTCTATCGATAAAAAGTCTTCATTCTGCTGGATTATATACAGAAACACCCAACTGTAGTAGGAGACCTGAAATATCATGACAGTAAGCAAATAAATTTACTTCTGAAAAAAAGTCAACAAAAGTTTCATCTCTTGTTCTAAAATAAGATACTTTTGCAAAGTTATCAAGTAGGTTTTATTCTTTTAAACGTGACGCTAATACTTCTGCTGCTTGTTTAGAAAGTCCTAAATCACAAACTAAGTCATTCAGTTCTATCTGACTAAAACACTGAGGCAAACTGAATTGTTTAGCATTAGATAAGAAGTCTTCCAAATCTGGTAAAAATTCTCCTGTTTCTGTTGCAGACACGCTTTACTCATCTTCAGACAAAAATAAACCTTTGAAAATTGGAAATGGAATCTCGTTAGAATGTTGAATTGGTCTAATAGCAGAAGAAATGTTGGGATAAGTTATTTTTTGTCTCTTAATTTTGCCAACACCACAGTATCAACAAGACAAAAATAGCAGTCATCAGTATGATTTAGTGGTTCCCTCCGAACCATAAGGACTCCAAAAGGTAAACTATTTCTTTTTCCTTTTGTTCAATCTTGAAGGCTTTCTTAATAAATATGACATACAGTATGTGGAGCCCAATTTTTTTCTTGGTCACCAAGTTTAATATCGAAATACAATTCATATGCTAATTTCACAAAATTAGTAATGTTTTGTCATTGTCGAACAAGTGCATAGCAACCACATATATAACAAAATGAGTTAGGATTATGCTTGCACTTATGTCGATTTGAAGAAGCCATCATAGTATATATTTGATCTAATAAAAACAATGAGATGGTTACTTTTTTTATAACTATTGAATAAAAATAGCTATGAAAAAACATAATTTTAAAAAAAATGATAAATTGAGAATTGCAAATAAACTAGAGCTTACCAACAAAAACGGACCTCATATTTGGATTCAGCGTTTAAAAATACATAAAAATAAGTTTAAATATCTCATGCAACAGAAAAAAAGTTTTTTTTTGTAGACCTGTGTTATTGGAAACAAGAAGATTGGAAACAAGAAGATTGGAAACAAGAAGATTGGAAACAAGTAGATTGGAAACAAATAGATTGGAAACAAGAAGATTGGAAACAAGAAGATTGGAAACAAGAAGATTATTGGAAACAAGAAGATTATTGGAAACAAGATAATTGTATACTCTTGTACATAATATATAAATATTTTAATATTTTTTTGTCTTACTTTTACAAATTTTTTTATCTTATTCTAAATAATTTTTGTGTGGATAATAAGATATAATAAAGAGATTTTACCCCATACACTAAAGATTTAAACCAAAGTATATTTAAAACTTGACGTGGTAGAAGAAAAATGGTTTCAGATTTGAAATCACAGTAAGAAATTCTATACCTATTATTTGTTCGGTTTCAGAGAAAAAAAATTTTTTTTATGATGGCGTGTGTTATCTACTTAAAGCGTTTGATTTTTTTAAATTTATAGCTCTGACTTGATCCAAATTTTTTGTGCTCTTGCTTTATATGCGGCCATGGCGCAGTGGTTAGAGCGCTTGCTTTATTAGCAGGAGATCTAGGTTCGAAACGAGCTCTGGACATATTTTCGCGTCATGGTATAGAAGGAGACGTGAACTTTTCGATTAAACGCACTTCCGAGGTGCTCTGTGACAAGACCTTTAGGTCTTCTTGGGGCACCTAAATAACAAAAATAAAATATGACAGAAATGCTTATGAAAAATATTTATACTTCTTAAACAAAAATAAATTTGTAAAGTAAAATAAGTAAAATTAACTTAATATAAGCGTAAACATGTATGTACAAAGTTTAAATAAACAAAGGTACATTTATTAAATCGTATTATTCTTAACTACTCAATATATTATCTAATGAAAAGATTTGTTTGTTGTTGTTGTTTTTTAAAAAGACGAAGGTAAAGCAAAATCAAAATTCGGTAAAACAATTTTATTTCAAAAGTGTAGTGCCTGATAGGCAATACAAAGTTGATTAAAATTCGTCCGACAAAAAGGTTTATTTCAATAACTATCATTTCACAAAATTTATTTATTGATAGGTTTTGGAGTATAAAAATCTTTAAAAACGGAGGATGATAAGTTATCTTTCACAGATATACAAAACAAAAAACAACTATATTTAAGGCGTATGTATTTAGACTCATTTTAATAAAATGATGCTTTCAGTGAAAGAAGCGATCCGCAAAATTTATTTATACATAATGCATGTTTCTGACGGCAATAGAGCTGTTACAACTTTTCTGTACTTACTTTGGCAATTTAAGCATAATTTAAACAACTTTGTATAAATAAATAATAAAGTTGGACTAAATTTTTCTTAATGAGGTTGAAAGCTCTTTTTGAAACTTTAACTCTTATATAATGAATATGATGATTCCAAGTTTTCATCAAGAATAACTGAAGAATAACATAATTCATCAACACCTTAAAATTTAGTAACTTTTTTATTTTAATTTGATCAATAATATCCTCTCACATATGCTAATATAGTGTGGGCTAATACACACGAAACAAAATTAATCAAACTACAAGGCTTGCAAAACCATGCTTGTAAAGCAATTCATTATCTAGGTAGAATGGACAATGCTTCCAATGCGATGACAAATATTAAAGTCATAAACTTGGAAAAACTTAATTTATATCAGATTCTTATTTTTATGTTCAAGTATAAAAATAATATGCTACCAAATTCTTTTTTAGACATACTTTTGTCATCATTTTCTCAAAGTTATAATCTGCGATCAAATAGCTTCCATTATTATTATATTAAAAAAACTAAAACCCGGGGTTCACAGGGTCCCAAAATATGGGAAAACTTGAAAAACTAAAAATTAAAAGACTTAAATGGAATACCGTTGTTTAAATGGCAAGCAAAGCTGCATGTTCTTAGTTTGTAAAAATTATTGTCATAAACTTGAAATGGAATCATCAGATTCAAGTAGCTACAAGTAAAGCACAAAGAATCTTATGTTTAATAAGAAAAAGCTTTACTTATCTTAACACTGAAATGGTATCGCAACTATACACATCGTTGGTTAGACCACACTTGGAATTCGCAGCTCCAGTGTGGAGTCCAAGTAATAAAAACAATATCAATGACCTAGAAAAAATTCAAAGACGAGCAACAAAGCTAGCCCCTGAACTAAAACATCTAAGTTATACCGAAAGATTGACAAAGTTGGGCCTCATAACTCTGGAAACAAGACGTATAAGAGGAGATCTCATTGCTTTCTTCAAATTAACAACTGGGATTGATAAGATATTATGGTATAAAGAGCCTAATAAAGCTTCTTCCCAGAGACTTCGAGGTCATCCAATGAAATTTGAAAGAGAATTTGCAAAAACAACACCGAGACATAATTTTTTTACGAACAGAGTGATACCTCATTGGAATGCTTTACCTGAAAAAGTGGTTTCTGCAATGACAGTAAATTCTTTTAAAGCTAGACTGGATAAATATTTGTTAACGGCTGTTAAAGTATACATTTTAAACTTTATACTCCGGGATAATCGTCGTTACAGCAGTTTGTATTACTATTACTATAATTTAAAAAAAATATATATGAAAAGTAATATATATATATATATATATATATATATATATATATATATATATATATATATATATATATATATATATAACAGTAGAAATAGTAATTACAAAGTTAATTACAAAAAAATTGTTTCTAAGTTTACTTAATTAACGTTTTATATAGGCATAGATATACGCCAAATGGCGCTGTTAAGGGAATCTGCGAAAAAAATTTTTTTGGAGTTTTATACCCAAAAATGCTGAATCTTCTTTGATTTCCTTTTTTTTAGATATTAAAGTATAAAAAAAATAAATATATATAAAATAGTTATTATACCAGAATTTATATTAAAGTTTGCATCAATACTATATTAGTGTATCAATGTATTTTTATCAATCTGATACGTAATAATTTTGTATATATATTTTTTTATTATCACGATAATAAATGTATATTTTATATGGTATACCTGAAGAAAAAAAAAATTTATTATCACGATAATAAATGTTAAAAATTTATTATCACGATAATAAATGTTAAAAATTTATTATCACGGTAATAAATGTAGGGGAGAGCGGGGTTGGTTGTCACACTTTTTACATTTTAGGCTGCTCAGCTTTTAATTTTCATCCAATCAATGCCAAACTTTGCACAAAGCTAATTTAACTATTTCCAGTAACTATTATAATATTTTTATGACATTGAGTGAAATATTTATTGCTGTAAAATCATTTTTCAAAGACCACTTCTGTGTGACAACTAGCCCCGCTCACGGGGTAGGTTGTCACATGGTGCGGGGTTGATTGTCACATTTGGATTTTGACAAGTTTAGATAAGAATTTAATGTAAAACGAGTACAAATTAATTTCGTTTATGTTTTACTAAGAAAAACAAAAATAAAATACTATAAACTGAAATATATATATTTTAAATATAACACAATTAACAAATTTAGTTTATCACTATAAATGTTTTTAGGTTTGGTTTTTTAAAAATTATTGGATAAAGAACACAATTCACAAATAAACTGTTGTAAGCCTGGTGTGCATTCTTCATGAGCCCATTTTTGGCAAACCTGACATTGAATCCACTGTTCTCTTGATCGGCTGTTGGAAAATGATTCAAAACAATAGATGCACAGATACTCTTTATCTTCAGATGAATTTAAGACTATAGAAGGTTTTTTCGTAATAAGATTTGCTTTTATTAATTCTTTTTTACTTCCATTAGTAAATTTTTTTTTATTAGTTTTCTTCTTTTTATAATTAGCAAGCCATGCTTTGACAGGCGTGTTAGTAAGAATCATAGTTGACCGCTTTTTCCTACCTCTTTTTGATGCTAACCTCGGACCTGCTTTAGGCAGAGGCCTAATACTCTCAGGTGGTATGATTGAATTGTTAAAACCTAATGTTGTGATTGGGTTCTGATTAGGGGTTTTATTTAATACAACTGGATCTTCTATTGTTATGTCTACCTGATTACCTGGTATCTGAATAGATTCTTTAAATCTTTTATTTGATGGCTCTGGTTGCATTGAATAAGATTCACAGTCTTTTTTATTTGAATCAGCCTGTGAACAAGGTGGGTCAGGGCGATCAGTTACATAGTTAGGACAGTAATCAATTTCAGTAAACGCATCAGGATTTAACGGGTAAATACCTGTTGCAGAAAAACCACTTAAAATATTGTGGGGAGATACAGCCTTTGGAAATGCAATGTTTACTATTTTTGGAATATCATATATTGTAACAGTTTTTCCAGGATTCATTACTAACCATGATGTCATAGCAGTATTTATGTAGTTTTTGAGAGGACCATAAACTGCCTTATCCAAGGGCTGCAATTTATGTGTGCAATGTGGTGGGAAGGTAAGCATTACTATTCCATTATTTTTTGCCAAATCTAATCCTTCAATACTAAGATGAGTTTCGTGATTGTCAAGCAACAATAAACAAGGCTTTTCTTTAGTACATTTTGTATTGCCTACAAAATGTTTTAGATATTTTACAAAGTTTTCTTCTTTCATCCAACCACTTGGATTTGCATCTCCTGCACTTCCTGTTGGTGCACTGATTAGGAAATGATCTTTAAAGTTTTTACGAGGAAAAATAAAAAAGGGTGGAATACTATTTCCAATAGCATTTATTGTGCATGCTAATGTTACAAGAGTTCCTCTTTCAGCTGACGTGATGGCTCCTACTTGTTTTAATCCTTTTTTCGCAATAACCTTTTTAGGTTGCTGTACAGTAGTTACAGCAGTTTCGTCCATGTTCCAAATGTCATTTGGTGAGAACGAGTATTTTTGCATACAGTGCTGCAAATTGCTAAAAAATGATGCAACATTCTGCTTATTGAAACTTGTCGCTCGACTTAAACTAGTAGCTTCAGGTTGCCTAATGGAAATATTTGAATGGCGCTTTATAAATCCTGTAAACCAATCCTTACCAGCTTGTTCCTTTACAACCCAAGAATTGGGAACCTTCATATTATTTTTAATTGCTAGCTGGAAAGCAAGCTTTTTTACTTCGGTAGGAGTTAAACCAAAATATATATCTGCTGCTCGCAACAGGTAGGTGACCAGTTCTTTTTCTACTTTTTCTGGCAATATCAATCGACTTTTGTATCCTATAACATTCAGGGAGGTGGGGTTTTCAATTTTGTCAATTAGATCTGCTATAGAACCATGTGATGGGTTAGTAATAATAATTTTTTTACAATAACGTGCTAATGTTCTGTAATTAATGCCTATATTTTATATGGTATACCTGAAGAAAAAAAAAATAAAAAAATAAAAGATTTAAAGAAATACTACAGTGAAGGAATGACAATTGATTTTTAAATAATCTAAGATTAGTTTCATTTTAGGTGCATTTTCTTATTTTAGTTGCGTTAATATTTCTTTCTAAGTTAATTTTATCCGCTTTTAGGAATATAGGAAAATGATCAGATACATAGATTTTCAACGATATCTTTTCGTATATCATCATTGAAAATGTCTGTTGTTATTATATTATCTATTAGAGCTCCTGAGTTTATTGTTATTCTAGTGTGTCGATTTATTAAAGTAATCTATCCCGTTTCAAAAATTGCATAATAAAAATTTATTGTAGTCATTAGAAAGAAAGCAGGTCTCCGATTATAAAATTTTTTATTTTTCAATGTTATTTTTTTTTATATGTTGTAAAAACATGTTTAGTTTTTCGTTCATGCAGCAAGGCGGCCGATAACAATAGCTTGGTAAAATGTTTTTGTTTGTTTGTTTTTAATTTTAATAGTTACAATTTCTTTATCACTTTTGGAAACGCTCAAATCATTTAAACAATGCTCAAAATTTTCCTAAACATAAATTAAAACTCCATAATCGCACTTTTTTTCTCTACATGAAGGTTATATTAAAATGAGGAAGTTGAAAACTATTCATTTTGTTTAAAGTGGTTCAAGTTTGTGTTATGATATAAACAGTTTGAAAAAACTATTCAGAACAAAGTTATCGTCAGTGTCAAAGTTTTTATCTGATAAAAAGTAGTTTTTTTCGAAAAAATTAAAAGAACAAGTTAAAATTAAATAAGAACTAAAAATTAAAAGAACAAATTATAATTAACAGCTAAATGGTACTGATTGCCAATTACAAACACAAGATCGTATAAAATAAACTGGATTTTTTTTTCTAAACTTAAACGGTTATCATTATTAGGCGTTCCACAGTCTGTTTGCAATACTGTCCGACAGATACTTGATTTATGTTAATGAAACATTTTATTTTAAAAAACATTTTATTTTTTATTATAAAGTAATAAAACTAAAATAAACTATAAATATTATCTAAAATTTCCTTCACCTTTATATAGCTACGTATAGTGCTCATTTTCATTGACATGGAGTAATGGGTTCAAACAAACATTTACCATCGTCTAATAGCATGTATAAATATGGACCTCATTACGTCATAAGTGTTACGAGATTCTATTTAAAAATTATTCATTGGAAACTAATAAATGTAAGACTTATAAGTTAATAGAATTTTTAGTTACCATGGTTTTTTGTTACCATGGTTTGCAAAAAAGTTTACACTTTGCCGGCTCGTTGTTTTTACTTTACATAATATTATTTTCCAAAGATAATACAAATACATATTTGTACAGTAAAGGATTTTTGTCGATGCCAATTAAATGACTTTTCCATATAACAATGTCATTAAATACAATTTTCAAACCAAAATTACTTTTTTTACATTTTGTTCTTTCAAGCTTTCTTGCAAAATTTACAAACTAAAAATTATTTAAGATATTTGAAACTTTAAAACTATTTTAAATATTTTGACTTCTTTATTTATATTAATCCTTTATTATATTATTATATTAACTGCAGAGAAAATAGCTAGATCATGTCTTGAAGCTCTATCTAAAAACATTTGTTAAAAATCTTAAAACAAATATTAGTTTTTTATAAAATGTTGATTTTCTTAAGGGTTTCGATTGAATCTTATTGAAACATGTGAAGTGCTCTACATAAAAATTGAAATAATATTGTTTCCTTCATACCTTTTTAAATCACCGGGAGAGTTGTTAAAATGTAATGTTACTCTATCAGTTGACTTTTTGGTTATTGTTGTTCGTAACTTTTCATCTATCTTTTTGATAGTTGTAATGTCCATGAATATATTGATAGATTTTTCAAATTTTTAAAATTCAAAACTGATAGAATTAATAAAAGTAAATTTAATTATGGGATGGATAGTATTCATATATTCGAAAACTTTCGTTAGTTCCTCAGGAGGTCAAAGGAAAAAAAAAGATGTTAGCAAACCAATAAAATTTTAGGTTAGACTTAGTGAATTTTATTTCTGATATAAACAAAAGATCTTTGAAAAAAATATTTGGCGCTTGCAACTTAAATAATGTGTCAAAATATTAAAATAAAATTCACGACTTAAAGATAAGTAGAGTCAGCTTCATATTACAATCTTAATTAAATCAGTTTTTATTTTTTATTTTATTAAAAACAATAACTTTTTTGTTTTTATTGACGATAAAATGCCTTAAAAATTTTCAAAAGCTTCTTTGTTTAATTAGACGCAGCAGCTGTTATTATTGTTGGTAGTTGGTTTTGTTAATAGTTGTGTAGGGTGCATCGGAGTGTGCGCTCTCCTGTCAAACTCCTTTTTCAATGTTGAGAATTCTTCACTCCAA